TCCATCCCTTCTCATGTTGCACCTATGTTGTTTCAGAAACAACCTCTGGTTGAACAAAACATCGAAAGATTCAGCCCAGATTTAAGGCAATGAACTCCCCACTGCAGTCAATGGGATGAAGATGAATAAAATACACCTGAAACAGAACTTATGAACCTCACATGGGAGAGTTCACAGAAACTGAGCCACAAACAAGGCTAGGAATAATACTTCAGAGGTCCAATGTCCCTCATGGAAGGAAGTGACAGATTTACATATGTAAATCTGAATGTGTTGTTACTGAGACATTGGACACACACATAAAAGTCAGCTGAGGTGAACTCCACATTTAGATGCTTCTGCAAATGTTATCTAGGACAAAAAACCATTCTGAAGTAGGGTCAAGGCAGCATGGGCTCTGTAGACTACTGGAATCTTTTTCTCCTTTTTTTGCTGGTGCTTTCATTGCAGAAAACAGAAAATTTAAAGCTAATCCAATTAGAATTGTTTATAAGCAAGAGGAGCAAAACACTCAATGATATGTCTTTCTGCTAATATCAAATATCATTGTTTCTGGCCCTGGTGATCCCAAGCCTGGTTTAGAAACAAAAGCATCCCAAATTACTTGCAGATTACTTTCAGCAGGGACTTGAGCCTCCCCAGTCTTCTAAACACGTGAGCGTTTTATTGCTTTGTCCTAAAACATGAATTAGSATGGATTTCTTGTCTCATCAGTGTATCAAGGGCTTACTTCTCAAATGAAAYGTTTTCCCTCAACTATGCTCTTAGTGCTAAAATATCTGGGAAAAACTCTCATGTGTACTTTACCAAAAGAGGTTAGAAGCTCCTCAGCCTTTGCAAGAATGAAAGTCCCCATTTTCTGTTAACACATCTGGTAAAATTTGGGGAACAAATTTCAGTTCAGAAGCTTCAAGTGCAGTCCCAGTTTAAGTGTTATTTAATACTGGACAGCACTATTAGAAAATGGTTCTCTATTAYTCAGCAGGTCTGTGTTTTCATGTGTATTAGAGGTTTCTTAGGCTATAGCACCAGCTCAACTGTGAAGGAGGAGGCTGCTCTTCCTGGTAACTTCTTGTTTACAACCCAGCCTCTTGTCCCAAAATGGGACAGGAGGCAACCACATGGCTGTGCCAGTGTAGCTGATGCCTTAATTTAGCTTCCTCTTAATGGTGATGATGTGTGAAATGTAAAGAAACCAGCTTGGTTCTTGGAGCTGTGGCTGAACACACTGGGCTGAAGTTTAGAAAAACACGTTTTTAGTATATTTATATTTTATCCCCTTATAAACTGAGGAAATATGATGTGGAAAATCATGGGATTCCCACAAATTTGTATTAACAGAGACACTCTTAATTAGTGACATGTCTTAAGTAGAGTGTTAAGGTGTTTCAGGAAACAGATGGTTATCACCATATTGCCATCTCAGGGAATGCAGGGAGGGTGAGGAGGAGGATAATGAAATCACAGGTTTTACAGGGAAAGCTGGGTGCTCTCCTGCCCCCCTGGGCAAATCAATCCATGAGGATTGATGTCAGGAGTATGTACTCTTCTTGGGGCATGATGAACAAACAATCCTACTTTACACTCACTGCAGCATGGGGAGGGTGTAGAGGGTTTGTGATGGAGAAAGAAGCACCTGCCAGCTCCCTCACCTCTGTGATCGATCAATCAATCAATCAATCAATCAATCAATCAATCAATCAATCAATCAATCAATCACCTACCATTTGTGTGCTCCTGCTGCTCTCCCAGCTCCGTCCTCTGCTGAGCAGTCTCCTTGGGCACAGCCTGAGGCAGGGGTTGGACAGAACCCACCCACACCAGACCTTTAGTCTGGAGTCTGGCTGAGCCTCTCCTAATTTCTGGCCCCGCACAGTCACCACAGCCCCACTTTCAACCCTCTGGGTAGGTGGCACCTTCCCCCCAGGCCCCTGACTCACCGAGCCTGGGCGAGGTGATGGTGTTGACGTTGATCCTGTCGTTGCAGACCTGCTGGTGGCACTGCCTGTAGGCTGCTGGCTTGGCCAGGGCCGGGCACTCGCTGCCGTGGCGCCCGGTCACCTTGTGCATGCACTGCACCACGCGGGACTGCAGCCCCTTGCCGCACGTCGAGGAGCACTGCCACGGGAGAGGAGACAACACACTGAGCACGGAGCTTTCCAAGGCACAGGCACGACAAAAATCCCTGCCAGAGCGGGGTGTGAGCCACTGCGGTGCTGAGGATTCATCAGCAGGGTCATGCTGGCAGCCAGGGACCCTCCAGTGGTTTTTGTGTTTGTCACTGAGGATACTGCACCTGCAGGGAGTGCTGGCAGCAGAGGAACTCTCCTGGCWCAGGGAAGGGAGCTGCTGCCTTTCTGCCCTGAGTTCATCTACTCTCACTGTCCCCTGTGGATGCCCATGGGGTTCAAGCAGACAAAAATGCAATTCCCCATACCAGCCATGAAGAGACAAAGCTGAAAAATATGTCATGCTTAGTTATGGACCAGAAGCTTCCACCTCCCTCTCTGCAAGGGTGGTACTTGTTTTAAAAGCCCTCTCCAAGACTTGGATGGTCTACCAAGGCTTCCTGACAGCCAGGATGACCTCTACAGCCAGGCACTGCTGTAAGATAAATCCCAGGATTAGAGCAGAGGCTGGCAGCTCCTGTGTGCCCAGAACTCTGAGAAGCACTGCTCCAGAGAGGAGAGAACACATCAGGTATTCCAGAATTTACTCCCATCTATCCCTGCTAACTGTCTGGCACTYGCCTGTCCTCCTGGGAGCAATTGCAAATCGTAGTCGTGAGTTTTGGCTGCCATTAGCCTGGAGGCCCAGCCTGTTCATATGCTCTCTTTGTTGTCATACAATCAGAGTCCCTCCCTCTCCCTCCCTCTTCCTCTGGCCCAGTCACTTGTGATTTACAATGTCCTACTTCCACGCTGTTCAATTTTAATAAAGCAAACACACAGAGCACAGGGAGGTGCAGCAGCTGGAGTCAATAAAAGAACCTTGTATTTAACATAAAGAAACAATGGGTTGCAAGACTTGGGTAAGATTCCTGTTTCTGCTAAAGCCACACACAAGCAAACGATGGGRGAGAGGAGGAGGCAAAGGAAAGCCCAGGAGGTATCAACAGAATGATGTAAAAAAAGGGTCATGTTTTCTGTCCTCTGCTGTTTCGGAGCAAAGTCAGCACACTGGAGCTTTCTCCCTGAAAAACACCATCACCATCAAAAGAGAGATGCCAAACATTGAGAGGCTCAGATGATGGGCACCTCTGAGACTGGACTGAAGTCCAAGCACAAATCCTGTGGATGTGGTGTGGATGCTTGTGAGACCCAGCTCCGAGGGCAGAAAAGTGACTGAACACAGCTCCACCTCTGCATCCACAGCAAAGCCTTGGTCATTTTGGACTGGAAGTATCACAAGAAACCACTGCTGTTTGGGTTTTTTTTCCCCTTTACAATTTTCTTATTTCAATTTAGATTCAACACACCAGTTTATGACAGATATTCTTGCAGATAGATTTTTCAGATGTTGAATTTACATAAAAACGTGATTACTTCAGTAATGATTATGGTATTTAGGATTATGCTGAATGAACCCATCTCTTGCCCTACAGTAAGCTATTCCAAAAGTCAGGAATTAAAGTCCCTGATTTAAACCCCCTTCTCAATTTGAATGTATGCAGTGAGATTTGGGCATTTTCATTAGTTTTGTGTGTCCCTCAGCTCTTTCCCAGCACTAAGTGCCCTCAGTGACTTMCACCAGCCTGGAAGCCAGTCAGGCATGGCCACTGGATTTAAAATGAACAATTTTTATCCCGATAAATGCAACTACTGGGCTCTTCCACTTCACCAGTCAAATGCAACCTTTAATCCTCAGGATTTCAGTGGCACTTTTAGTCTTCACAGTGCTTTACTAATCTTAATCCTCTCCAAACTCTTTGCATGGGGAGGGAATTGTACATCCATTTTACAAACAGAAGAGCTGTTATCACACAGGCATTAAATAACTCAGGCTATGGGATTCCTTCCCATGATTGTAACATGGTGACTCTGAAACCTCTGCCTCTGGCTTTTACGCACTCCCTGTGCTCTTAACAGAGGGGAAAGAAGGAAGAAAAAGGAAGAAAACAGCACTTTTCCCATCAGGTGAATTAGATTTTCAGATACCAACATACAAACACTCACCTACCTTTGTCTGTGTTCCTGTCTCTGCATTTGTTAACCAGCAAGGAGGGCAAGCAATGAAACTTTTTTCCACAGACACTGCCAACTCCAATCCTCAGACAAATAACAGCAGAGCTTTTGCCTGAAGCAGTTTTATTCCTTCTCCTGGGAGACTGGGATCATCACCTATGCTATGCAATTAGTTTTTCACAGCCAGGAAGACAGATTTTAACATCTTTCTTGAACTCTTTTGGGCTTGGCAGCTAAAGGAAGGTTGGACATCTGGCTTATTTTAAGACGAAATTTTCAACTCAGTACTTGGATAGTCTCTTTCCTAGGAATTTCAATAGGAAATAGGAATAGATACAAAATACATACAAAGGGGGAATTGTTACTCATGCTGCACTATGAAAAGAGGACATCATTAAAAGAGGCATAAAAATCAAACTCCAACTGAACAGCAAATTCCCATAAATACCTTCTCTCTTTCTCTGGACAGCTAAATGCACTGCTATGGACTCTCTGTTCCCAAATGTTTATGGAGTAAGGAAGCATCTCCACAGAACAATTTTCAGGGCTGGATTCACCAGAGAAAAGCCACCAGCAATGTGCCTCCTCTGGGAAGCTGGGGCTGGGACAAGGGCTTGAGCAGAGATGCCAAACAAAGAAGTGAATTTTCCCTTCCACCAGGCTCTGCCAGTGGTGTCACTATCACAGAAATGCATATGCAGAATTCCCAGAGTTTAATCATAATGCCCTAAACTGACAGTGCAGGCCCTGCAAACTGGAAATCCAACCCCATGCAAAGATCAAAGGGTTGCTCAGCACTGTAAAATAGAGGGGGTTAATGAACAGCTACAGARAGTGAACCTAATGAGAGCCCCTGTAATTCTCAGTTCAAACACTGCTTGAGAAGGCAAAAGGAGGACAAAAATGCCTCCATTCACATTCTTTGGCAGTAACATGCAAGCCAGTGGGGATATCCAGAAGGAAATAAACTCACAAATTGTCAAGGCAGCAGCTGCATTCATCAGCTTAAAGAAGATTTACTCACTGAAAACCTCTAACCTTAGGAGCAAGCTATGATTTTTCAACTGGAATGCTATTTCCACCTTAGGATACTGATATGAAAGCTTGAAATCCAGCAAAGGYGCTGACAGATGTCTAATTGCTTTGAAAGCAAATGCCTCAGGAGAATATTAGGTATTAAAATAGAATGAATTTACAGTAAGTGCTGAGATCTGTCAGGGCCTTCATCAAGTCCTGGTCTAACAAAACACAGCCAGAGAAAAAGAAGGGAATGAGAATGAATTAAGCCATGGCAGGGCAGCTCAGGAACACCTAACAGAGTCCARAGAATCCTTGTGTTGAGGTTTAATGGGGGCAGAAAAGGTACAGATTTAGCAGCACAGAGACAGGCTCAGGACTGGATGGGATAATGGATAATTGCTGAGGGCTCCTGGGAGGTTGGGATACATTTCACACCCCAGGACACCTTGAGAAATRTTACTTTTCTAACGTGCTAGGGATAGATGTAAATCAATTTTGTAAGAGACTTTTTCCAGAAGGTCACAGCATYCCTCCAGCCAATCCTGAGCACACTCCAGGATGGAGAAGGCTGATCTGTCAGAGGGAGCTACAGTTCTRCATGACTGTCATAACTAAGCTGCAGGCAAGATGGGTTTTTTTTCTTTATTCATCAGTCTGTAGTCATCTGATGTTTAAAGATACTGGTTTGTCCCCAGTTTGCTGGAAGTTGCTGAAGCCAAGGATAACACCATGGCTAAATCTCCAATACTGAGAGATAGAGTCATGCTTTACTGACTTCAGAGTTCAAGTATTCCAGGCGTTAGGGTAGAGTGYTTTTCCCCTCGGGGGTCTTATTTCTTGCCTCTACAAAAGTCAGAAAGAAAGCAAGACAAGTTCCTATTAAAAACATTCTAACACAGCATCTGAGATGAATGACAAAGGTCCTGTAATTGCTCCCTTCCCGGGACCTTAATAGCAGACACATGTGTGCTCTGAAAGCCAGTGCTCCACACACCTCCACATCAGGCTTTTTATGAGGATCACTAATTTAAATCCCACAGTTCTAGCTGAAAAGCAGCGTGCAATGTGCTTTCATAAACACCAGGTCAACTTTCACCATGGCATCATGCTAAAGAAAGAAATATCTGTCTTTTCACTGATAAGATCTAATTAGCCCAAAGCAAACTGTAAGCTGTTTTTCAAGCTTCCTTGTTCTTTTCTTTTTTTTCTTCTTCTTTTTGAACCCCAGATCTGCAAAAGAACATATCTGGTCTTGCTTAMAACAGCCTTTCATTTGGAAACTTTTGTGAAATGACTGATTTGTTTAATTTAGCCAAGAAGAAAAAAATGCAGACCCTTCTGACTCAGTATGGGAAGAAACAATAAATTATGGCAGCAAATGCTCATGGCTGATGTGACAGTATCTTAGCAGGAAAAGAGAAGCAATTTCTGCAAACTGCCTACAGCTGTACTTTCAAACTGCACGACCCCAAGGAACAAGACCTGACCAGCACATCCAACATGTCTCACTGCATAATTAAGCTTGGCTTTGCCGTTCTGAAAAGTTCCATTGTGTACAGAGAGTTCAGAGATTAAAGGCTGAACACATGAATATTCTGGCTAGTGACAGTGCCCCTAAGTACTTGTGCAGTGGAGCCCAGGTGGATGCTGATGAGGAAATGCCATTTAATCCAATATTCCAATCAGGCAGAATTTACTTCTCATGAGGTTTCAAACTGGATGTCAAGACCAGGCTCGAGCAGAGCTGGGAAGTGATCCAGTGCTGTCCACAGGGGATCATATTCCAGCATGTCCCCTACTGCACTTGTGTGGCAGAAAGTGGAAATACTCCAGAGCTTATTCCTCCAGAAAAACTGCAAGAACCTMATGGTGGAAAACACCCAGTGTAAAAGGCATAATCAAGGTGATTTTAAA